TCTATCTATCTATCTATCTATCTATCTATCTATCTATCTATCTATCTGTCTGTCTGTCAGTCACAGAAACACCGAATAATCGATGAGCTACGTTGGTGAAAATGAGACGTGGGATCAAAACCTCGCATTGTTCCACGGTGTGTGATTGGCTGCGCCGTGCACCAATCAAAAACCTGGAAGCCGGCCCGCGTCCAATGAGGAGAGGCGGGGGCGGTGCTCGCAGCAGTCTGCGCTGGATATTGCGTGTGAACCATAACAAACAGCGACCAAACATCGCATGGCCGAGGCATCAGGATAAAACACGAAAACGGTAGGACCTAGATAAAAAAAAAAAGAATAAAACACGGGTTCCTGGCTTTTTAGCGTTCCGGGACGCTTAGCGAAAACGACTGATAGCTGAAACTGCCATTTTAAACATGGTGGCATTACTGCCGAGTGAGAAAATGTAATGTCACATAAACGTGTCAAGTCGTGTTTTCCAGTCTGACGGCGGAGGACAGTCGTATAAATGTAAAATGTCGCTGTTTTGCGTTAGCACGGAGCCCCTCTCGCCGTTTTCCCCCGGCCGGTACGCTGTGTTCTTCCCCAGCTTCGGCGGCGTCATGGCGGCCTGCTCCGTCTTTCATAAGTGTGGAAACGCACAACACAATTCAAACTTTCGCCCCCCCTCCAGTTCTACCGGACAGCTCGTGTTTGCTGGACGTTACACCGTGGTTAACGTCCCAGGAACCTGGAGTTTAACGTTTTGGAGGCGGTGGAAAATGTGTGTGGCCTTCTCTTTAGCAGGCCTCGCGCACGTTAGGAGTACCTTAATCCAGACAGGAATAAATTAAATAAACTAAACGTCGACGCAGATGATAGCAGAAGAAATAAAGAAAACACAAACTTAAATATACGTAAAAATGACACAAAACGAATGGCAACAACAACAACTAACCCCTTCGCTCCAAAAAATGAACAAAAATGGCTTCGTTTTGCTTAGTGATTTATCGATGGTTTACGTTAGCAGCACTTGAACGCACCAGCACGTTAATCAATAGGAGAATAACTAACTGGTTAAGAAGAAAAATACCTTCACTGTAACATGTGGGGTAGTTTGGGGTTCTTACACTGCCCTTTTACGTTGTTCAATTTACCACAAAAACATCAACTGGCATCAGAAAGTGATGCCTAGAAAAGCTTACAAATAGTTCTGGGCCTCACAAGATATTTGTGTTGGGCGAAACGATTAAAAAAATGACCCATTTCAGGCTTTGGGATGGTTTATGTTTGGCGTCGGCTTCATTAGTGATGGAAATGATGTCACAATAGCTTTTATTGACTGCTTTTGTAACTGTTTTCACACTGTCAAAACATCAAGTGTTTATGAATAATTATGTGAGGCTATTTAGCATAAAAATGTGATCGAACACTATGCAAATATTACCAAATGAGCGGTTTGCTCCCCAAACTGCTTGTTTAAACATACAAAATCCTGCGTTGATAGAAAAGAGGCTTCGGCGATTTTGAAATGAGGACAAAACTGCTGGCACCAGACTGGGGTTACAGTCTTGTCTCCTCTGAATTCCGAGTGTTTTAGAGTCACAAAAGATTTTTTTATCGACACCAGCTGCAGCCTCTTCTCCTGGGAAATGATTCCCGGGAATCCTTCCAGGTCCAATTCTGTATTTTTTTGTTTTTTTTTTTTTTTTTTTTGTGGCCACGTTGCTGGTTCGCATGTCGGATTCTTCTGCCAGTTCCTGTCTCACTCCGTTTTTAGTTGTTTTTTTTCTTGTCTTTTTCTGCTGTCGTGCGCAGATAACCGAAGCCATGGGCAAGTCCCAGTCACTCTTGACCAAAAGCAAAGATGAGAGTCAAGAAACCCTGACGACGGCCGACGACTACAAGGAGGAGGAGGACGGGAAGAACGGAGACGTGTCCCAGTTCCCGTATGTGGAGTTCACGGGCCGGGACAGCGTGACCTGCCCCACCTGCCAGGGAACGGGCCGCATCCCGCGGGGTAACACCACATCTGCACCACCTGAACCTACATCACCTAACCCAATAACAAAACCAACATGAAGAAAACCACCATTTGTTATTTTTAGGAAATCTAGAATAGGAGTGTTTTTTTATCACAGCTGATTTCACATTCTCTCCATCTTTTTATGCAAATGACTCTTATACAAGTGTGACTTATGCAACAAACAAGGATCCCATCAGGCTTTAAAATAGACTTAAAAAATGTGTTGTTGTTTTTGTCTGTGAGTGGCACAGAAGCGTATTTATTACTGGACCCAAAGTGAGGGGAAGGGGGGGGGGGTTAACAGGTCTGCAGTGTTATCTAAAACTGAGGAAAATATTAGTCCTGTTATGTGTCACTTCTTGCTGCCTCCTTTGCATCATCCGTCTCAGTGCACCAGCACGGTTTTGTGGTCGACAAAAGCAGAAGCTGAGCACATTCTAACGAGACCCGACCACTGGTTTCACAACCCTGCTCACGCCAACAGGAACCTTGTGGAAAAAGTTTATATTTAGCTTCATTTTGGTCTACAGCAGGTTTTCCTTTTTCCTTTTTTTTTAACCAGAAAAAAGAGGATGCCTCAACAACTCTGGTGTTCAGGCTGTAGCCGGACACGTGCAATAGTGTTAATCGGAGCCAAATAGCAGCTGTGTTACCTGAGAAACATTTTAAAAATAGTAGAAATAGAAATAGAAAGTTTTCCATACGACAAACTGGGTTACCCATTAAAATAATGTCAAAATCAGTCACATAAGCTGATGTTAAGTGAGAGCATGTTCACGGTATCCCAAACTTCCCATGCACCTGAATGCATCTTTTTTTCTTCTTCTTCTTTTAAATGATTCAACAGGTCAGGAGAACCAGCTGGTGGCTCTGATCCCGTACAGCGACCAAAGGCTGCGGCCGAGCAGGACGTGAGTGTGCACTCTGAGCTCTCTTTATGGATTAGCCGTGTTCTCTGTGATGAAACCGGCCAGCGGTTCCCCCCTGGACCTCACCCCCCCGCTGTCCCTCACCCCCCCGCTGTCCCTCTGCTGCAGGAAGCTCTACGTCACCATCTCGGTGGCGCTGTGCCTGCTGCTGTCGGGCCTGGCCGTCTTCTTCCTGTTCCCCCGCTCCATCGACGTCTCCTACGTGGGGGTGAAGTCCGCCTACGTCTCCTACGACCAGGACAAGCGGATCGTCTATCTCAACGTCACAGTAAGGCCTAAGTGTTGACAACCCTACTGAGCACATGGAATTACATCAAAACGTTGTATCCGGATACTCATTTTAAAAGGAACGACCCTGCCGACGCTGCACGCCTTCTCTCTGATTTATTTATTTACGTTGTTTCTGATCGTTATTGAGACGCTCGCCGTGAATTGCTCGCGGCGGCTAATGGCTAATAATAACTGGGCAACATAAATGCCGGCCACCGGCCACCATAACATCAGTAACAAGTCAGTTTGAAACCAAAGACACTAACCTGTCCAAATTCAGTTAAATGTGGGGATCTTTGTTTTTATCCTTGTTGTATCGAAAATGGTTTTGAGTATCGGATAGTTTACTGAGTGTCGGTATCGAGTTGAACATTTTAGTATCGTGACAACCCTAGTAATCAGTGTGCTTTTATGTGCCGAGTGTCTCATTTCTGACCAAACGGGGGGTGGGGGGGGGTGAAAAGCTCGGTGACTGTACTCGGCCCCCGGGTCCAAGTTTTTACCAGTCTGGGTCCGGCTGCTGTGGTCAGAAGGGCTGTCCTAACGCGCTCCTCTCCCCCCCCAGAGCACCCTGAACATCACCAACAACAACTACTACGCCATCACCGTCACCAACATCACGGCGCAGATCCAGTTCTCCAAGACGGTCATCGGAAAGGCCAAGTTCAGCAACAGCACGGTCATCGCCCCGCTGGACGAGCGGCAGGTGGGTCCAAACCCGGGGAGGACGCGGCCGAATTCAAATTAAACTGATTTTAAAAGTTAGGGATAGGCTCAGGTTGAGGTTAGGGTTAGGTTGGGGTTGGGTTAGGCTCAGGTTGGGTTTGGGTTAGGTTAGATGTGTTTATTGTTGGTGCTCTGTGTTTGAACTGGCTGGTGTCTTTCAGCTGGACTACACCGTCCCCACCATCATCGCTGACGAGATGAGCTACATGTTGTAAGTCTCTCTCCAGAAACTCTCCCAGAAACGGGTCAGGACTCGTTTGTAACCCGGAAACCCCTCTCTCTCTATCTCTATTTCTCTCTCTCTCTTTCTCTCTCTCTCTCACACAGCGACTACTGCACCCTGCCCACGATCAAGGTCCACAACATAGTGGTCATGATGCAGTAAGTGTTGTTTGTTCTACTCTTGTGACGCCGGGGGTCTCATGCAGTATCATTAGACCCCCCCCCCCCCCCC